ATGGTTGATGAGGCAAAGGCCATTGATAAAGCAGTCGGAAAGGTCTTGGACTCCAGGGATATTGGCGGACACGAGATACGGACCCCGTAAGTTTCACTCGCTGCTCAACGTTTTGCGCACGTCTGACTGGTTTCTTCAGTGATCTGGGCGGGAGTGCAACAACAGTTGAAGTCGGCAATGCAATTTGTAGACAACTTGAGAGCTTGTTGAAGTAAATTTTCACATGCAGTTATAACGCAAAGGATCAATTCACAATGCGTTGACTCTTGATAAGGAGGCACGATGGAGAAAGAGAGTGAGGCACGCCCCAAGTCGATGTTGACGCGGCAGTCAATCATCCATGAAAACTAGCGATGCAAGTAGTGCAATGGTCCGGGAATTGACATGGGACATTTCTAAACATCAAGCGAACGAGCTCATAAAGATACCGATAGCTAAAACAGATCCACTACCATTTCTCAAAAGCCATTGTCTGAAAACACGCACTCCCTTTGTCATTAGGCTCCACACAGACCTCTTGATCCAAGCCCGACCCCGAAGCATAGTCCGACCCCGAGCCCGACCCCGCGCCCGAACATAATCCCGTCACGATAGCTCAAGTCCATCAATCGACCTGACAACTCCGATTCTTTGCCTTCTGTCTAGATCTATCTCTCGATTCATTATACCCGGAAAGTTCTGACGCAATGGACGCCCGTCACCGTGAAGAGACTAGGGTACGACGTCGAAGGGCCCTTGCCTGTATCGAGTGCCGGAAACGAAAGCTGCGGTGTGACCACAATCGCCCTTGTGGCAAATGTCAACGTGCGAAGAATCGGACATGTGTCTATCCTGCCAATGCTCCTCTTGCCAGTCCGGAAAACCATATCAACTACCGACAGGGTAGTCCGTCAAACATCCAACAGCGCCAGTCCGACCCGGAACATGGAATGTTAGCCCAAACACCACAGCCCGCGGACCAAGACCGGGTCTTCACCAGCAGCACCGATGGAACATGGCACTCGTCTTCATTCGGAAGCGTCTTGCTCAGTCAGATCTCGGACCCGGGGACTGTTTTCCCTCTCGCGATGACTGAGACTTCTACGCGCCGACCAGCACCAGAGCCACTCTATCCAGCCGAGAAGTCACCTACTATCTGCTCACTCACCGAGCTTACATCTTTACCGACTATAATGATTGTTAAATCACGATATATTTCACCAAGTCACTGGCTGTACTCAGTGATGCTAGTAAGTCATAGCAGTTTGTCGCGTTGACATGCAAGGCACCGTCCACTCACCGGCTTTACAGATGTTGCCTGCGCTGAAGTGGCTGGACAAGGAAATGGTCAAGCAGGAAGAGTGTTGGCAGGGCCTCATACACTGCAAAAGTCTGGGAGAATGCCTCAGAACACGGAGAATACTCGCAAACTCTCCCGGGCAATATGGCTCCTACATGCTCGATCACGCCGTGTCAGCCGCGTTACTTCAGAATTACCTACGGAGCTTTGAGCAGATCTATCGGATTAATCATGTGCCGACGCTGCAGAGAGAGCTCGAGACATTTCTACAAGATCGCGCTTCGGTCAACCACGAATGCATTGTTAGACTTCAGCTTTGCTTTGCACTTGGAGCTCTAACATACGATGATCTGTTCTCTCTTCGACCGTACGCTCTTCAATGGATATACGAGGCCCAATCTTGGCTTACCAACACTGAGAAATCACAGCCAAGTATCTCGGGCATTCAGATCATGTGTCTCTTGCAGCTGGCTCAACAGACGACAGAATCACTCTATGGGGACCGGATCTCAGCTCTCTCAGGCAACCTTCTTCGGTCTGCGATATGCATCGGGTTGCACCGAGATCCGATTGGGCTGCCGCGGATGTTACCTTTTCAGATCGAGATTCGACGCCGTCTCTGGACTACTGTGTTGGAGCTGGTTCTGGAAGCAAGCATAGAGTCTGGCCAGCCCGTTCTCATCTCATCCGAGGACTTTGACTGTAGCTTACCCTCAAATCTGAACGACGACCAGCTGCACTGCGAGTCTACAGTCCGTCCCATTCCGAAGAACCCCAGTCTTCACACCGATAGCTCTCTGCAAATTGCTCTCGGTCAGTCCCTGACGTTGAGACTGATAATCGCTAAATTGTGGAACAAGGTCAAGCAGGAGGCGAACTACGCCACAGTCCTACAGCTTAGTCCGCAGCTTACTGCCACCCGCCAGATTTTGACAACTACGCTCAAGAACTTGGGCAAGAATACCTCGCTATTGACTTGTCATATGTGCGAGATGGTACTTATGCGATACGTCTTTGCGCTGCATTTGCCTTACATGCTTCTACCTGATTCTGTCTTTTCTCACTCACGACGCGAGTGCATAGATGCTGCGCTGCATCTTACATACAGGACTATGCCAGTATCCGACACGAACGAGTCACTCTCGGAGCTTCTACAGCAAGCAAATGACGAAGACTACTGTCCCGAATTTGGCCGATTGATAGTCTGCGGCTCGGGATCCTTGCGGTCGGCACAGCATATTGCTATCAGTGTGATCGCGGCAGATCTCAACACCATGATATCAGAAAGAGGCAAAATAGCGACAGGGTCGGCTCTACGTGTCGTGGAAGAGCGTTGGCTACTGAAGGCTGGTGTTGCATGGGCTAGACGGAGAATCGAGGCAGGGCAAGAGAATGTGAAAGATTATGTATTCTTTGCAATAGTGCTTGCTGCAGCAGAAGCTGTCTTGAAAGGCAAACCCGTCGAGGATGAGATGACAGAGCGATGTAAGGAGGCAATCGCGGACGCGAAGACGTTGCTATCGGATATGACTGGGGGAACAACCTTTGAGCCCGCTAGCGCTGTTCAAAATGCAGAGTGTGAGAATTATTTGGAGGATATCGGAGCTTTCTGGGCAAGCGACTTACCGTCCCTTGACTGGGGTGGATTCATGCCAATGCCACACAGCTAAGGCTTTTGGAGATTGTTTATTAGGTAGTAGAACGGTGTTGAAGTTAAGTAATGTTATGTTCAATTGGTGACGTTCCAAGTCATCCGGCCGTTCTATCGTCGTGGGAGGTCAAGGGCATAGTGATGAATGATTCAGAAACTCTATTCGTTATTTGAGGCCTCGGAGGTTATGTCACAATTATTTTCAACCATCTTTGAAGAAAATGGCACGGGGTTCTTAGGCCGAGTCCGAACCGTGAGTCCGAACAGTGAGTCCGAAGACTGCTCCCCAGCGCTGTTGCACATAAAGGTAGGGGGGACGGGTTCGACAATAGCGAATCTCGCCAAGTTTGACACTATCTCGAAGCACCAGCTACTGCAGGATATCATGACTCTCCGGTTCTAACTCTGCTCTCTGCACAATGAAGTCAACTCAGTCCCTGCGAAACGGCCCACATGTCCCAATTGGACAATATGGTGTGTGAGTGAAGCCCCTTTTAGCCTCTCAAAAGTGCCAACGGCTCTTTCATATGCTGTGGACCAATATGGAAGAGATTTATCATAATCATGTTAGCTAAATAATTTTCAATCAGATACAAAGGATGGTGGGGAAACATCGGTATGCGTTTTCGGTTTACAACTCATCGTCATCGTTCTGCCCAACCAAGTAAGGTACGCAGGGGTTCGTGATGATTGATCAACAATGTGTCTCAGGTGGCGAGAAGCAAAGAGGTATTATCACGTACGGAATCGCACCAAACCGTCTGAATCCTATGGCCCAGGCTGGTCATAATGCTGTCTTCAATATATGGCGACGCTTCGCGAGCCAGGTCTGGTATTTCGGGCCATCTCTGGCTGCGGCCTGGTACGTGATGTACTGGGCGGATAAGAGGTATGCCTGTATGCGTGAACTAAACCCCGCTGATCCCTCTTTTATGCTAATAGAGGACTGTTGATAGGAACAAGTTTCTCAATTCAAAGGTGGGCAGAGAAACATGGGAGAGATGAGTAGCGACGGGTTCATTCACGATCATTATGCTGTACTCACCCGACCAGTCACTTTACTTGTTTTATTCATGTAGTATTACACTTCCCTCTGCACGGCTACTCAACTTCTGTAGTAGCACTCGCTCGAATTCTCGCTTTAATCGTAGCTAATCAAACCCATGCTCAATGGGAATTAAGCCGGGGCTCGAAGTATAACTCTCATGTCAACGATGATCGACGGGATCATACCTGTTTGCTATAGCTTTCAAGACAGCACCACTATCACGGCTTCAAAATAGTTCCGATAAGTTTGAGCGGACGATTTCACCTTCGAATTATGTAACTCTTAATGGATACCTGACCGCCATTCTGATTGCTTCAAACACCGACTTGGAACTCGAGCTGATCTTTACAGCCTAATGTGGGCCAGCTGAGCAGATAGCCCTCGCCTTACCTACCAAGCCGATGAAAATCTACAGCATCCTTATCAGCGATCTTCGGAGCCAAGGGAGTGTGCGCCGTAGTAGTGAGGGTCACTTGTGATCCGGTCCGACTATTCTCAATCACCGAAAACCAGGCGCTAGTGGATCTCTTCCGAGCAGCGACGCCGGAGCAAACCCCGAGATCCACACAACGGACCCCCGTGAGCCATCGGCACTGCAGTCGGTAGATGTGTACAGCCTTATCATAGATTATCATGATTAAACTAATCATGATAGGGATTTCTTCAATATCGAGCCACAATATTCCATCGTTGTAAACTTGGCAAGTGGCCCAAGTGGCCCATCTCTGGGCTATCTTGATGCCATTCACCGAGCGGGTGATGTAGGATAGTGGGATAATGAGCTCACTTTCAGGGTCATCAACTTGCTTATCATGAATATCATTAATCAAGACCGATTGATTGTATTACGTATGAAGGCATCAATAAGGCCATGATGATGCAGGGCAGCTCGAGTTGAAGGCAGGTTGAGTTGTCATATAAGTCGACGAGGATAATGGACTACGCCGCATTTTTCTGTTCACCCAGTCTACACCATTGACAGCCCGACTGGTCGACTCTAACTTCAGAAGAGACCCATCATAATGAAGTTTTCCCGCTATATCTTGGCACTCTCGGCCCTTGGCTCGGCGATTGCTGCTCCGACTTCAAATAGCAGCACCGTGGACCGATCAAACTTGACGATCGCATTAATCCGTACGCCTCCGCCGAACTGGCCGCTGCCTCTCACGAACTACGACTACACCGACATCACTTTCAACATCAGCGAATGTGTAGATGTCGGAATCGAGTTGATCAAAGAGGCCAAGGCTAGCGGTTCCGATGTCGTCGTCTTTCCAGAGCTTTGGTTCCCCGGGTAAGCCCCAACTCAGCCTAAGTCTCAACCATCTTAACATCGCACGCAAGTATCTGAACCATCTCGAATAGATTCCCCAAGGGTTCGGACAGCCACTACAACTTCACGCGCGATTATCTTCCGTCGTACATTGAGAATGCCATCGTGATTGGCGATGCGCAGTGGAACCGCCTGATTGCCGCGATCCAGGCAGTGGGCATCTACGCCAATCTTAACTTTGCAGAAGTTGACGGCGACTACATGTACATGTCTCAGGCATTGATAGACCCTCAAGGAAATATCATGCACCACCGCCGTAAGCTTCGGCCGTCAGGCGCAGAACGATACTTCTTCAGTGACGGTGTGGCCGAGGATCTCAAAGTCTAAGAGACTGACTACGGCCGATGGGGAATGCTGGAGTGCGGAGAGTACGTCTACAAAGCCCACCTGACCCGACTGACTGCGCCTTGCTCCTACGAGTGCCGGAGCTGACCATACCACTTTCAATCTAGGCATATGTACCCCAGTATGACGTTTAACATGTACGTCCAGCGAGAAAATGTTCACTTCGCGCCTTTCCCCTATCTGGCCGGCGTCGGAGACGAGACTTCGCTTTGGTGGGAGAACGAATGGGTCAATACCGGCACCCTGAGCGTCTACTCTGTTCTCAGCGGTGCCTACTCCTTTGTCGCAGCTATCGGCGCGACTTTCGTGATAGACCCGTTCGGATCTCGCGTTGCTCACGTCAATGCCAACGCAAGCTTCGAGGAGTTCCCGATGCTGTACTACAACCTCAACACTAGCGGCTTCAACAGCTCTCAGACGTATGACATTAATGGGCAGGCTTCATGGGGGACGTTGAGCCAAATTGTGGATAGCTTTCCGGGGTATGTGCCAAAGGTGGAGGGGGAGTTCGTCAAACAAAAGAACGTCTCGATTGATTACTTGATGACGGGGGAGCTTGTCATCCCGTCTTAGAGGTAGATAAGGTAGAGTCATCTGATTCTAAATTTGGCTTCCCGAACAGTGGACTGCGGGTAGAAGTGGCACCGTCTCTCAGAATATCATCCCACGGTATGCCGTTCATCAATTCCGCGGTGATTACTCCTCAACTTGGTTGTGGTTCGAGGCCCCCTTCATTCCGGCTATTGTTGCTGTGCAGACATCAAAACCATCTCCAGAAGTTCTAATTATGGGAAGACAACGATGAGATACTGATGATAACCTAGTATAGCTCAAAGGAATAAACCATCAAGGTGTTCATCAGTGGATCACATTGAAGGTGTGGCTGTATGAGGCCTGGATTACTCCTGATGATCGGCCATGATCGTCCTACGTCGGGAACGCTCCAGGGTAAAGATTCATGCTTAATCGTATGCTGCCAAGATCTAATACATCTCAAACATGTCAACTGGGGGCTAGCTCTTTTGTTGGTTGGTTGTACCGATTTGGCAAAGGGTCGCGTGCTATCTGAGAGCGCGGTTGGCTGTGCGGCTGGTGCAGCTATTTTAAGGACAGGACCCATACGCGACGTTGCGAACTCGCACACCCTACAATCAAGAGGGGGAAACTTCGCTGATGACTTTGCACAATGGATCAAAACCACTAATCCGACCAGTTCCACCTTGAGTGATCCCCTCGGCGAGCAAGAATTCCTAGTATTCACCGAGCGTCGAGCGTAATTCGAACCCAAGAGCAGCAAATTCTGCAGTGGTTTCAGGTACATGGTGGTGTAGGAAGCTTGGAGGTCTTGGCTAATATCGAGCAATTGTATCAAACCATGTTCGGCAGTTCGACACTCCCTGTTCTCCAGCACTTTTGAAAACCGCTCAACCTTTTCTACAACCATCCAGGCTATCAGGTGAACAAATTTGCTGTTGAGTGCAGTTCAAGATTCGCAACGATGCTTGCCAACTTAAGTTGACTTGATTGGCTGGAAACTGGAGGCATGTTTCTCTGTATCCTCATCATGCACAGCTTGGGTCCCAGGACGCATCTAAAGTGTTAGTCATATCCCGGGGACCCTCAAATTAGTTGCGAGCAGCCCGGCCACCGGGCTACTCCGTCTCTCAGGTCTCTCCGGATCCGTGACCCATTGTAATGCTCCAAAAGAACCTCCGGCTTGTGGGGGTCTGTTCGGCCGACTCAAGGTTGCAGCACTAATAAGAGAGAAGGGAGTAGAATGAAGCTTGATGTTGAGCCTGGGCCACTTCTAAGCCTGCGTGCTCCGCGGCAGCGACTGATTCGCTGGCTAAAGACAATAAGCTTTCTCCTAAACACAGATGAAAATGTCAAGCAGCATCACCCATGCGTCTCATGAGTCGTGAGTGTCTATGCTTGACTTGTCTGCGACAAAAAAGATGCCCCCTACAGCGCAGTCTAAAGCCTTGTGTGCTTACTTTCGAGGGATCTTTTCCATGAAATGAACTTTATTCGGTCGGGGATTCCCCGTGTTTACTACGACTGGTCAGCCTGTAAGCCTTGAAGGAAGCTTCTTAAATGGAGCTTTTTCGGAACTGGTAATCATTCCCGTCGGATATTACGGTTGTTGCGTCCCATCCCGGGCGATGCAGATTGTGAAAAGCTTTCTTTGCCAAGTCCAAGTCCCAATTTTAGAGGGGATACAAAAAGTCCCATCGATTGAAGGCCCCTATTCCTGCCAATAATCATCCTCGAATAGCCACAAGATGGATCGGAACACAGAGCCCGAGTCTGCCCCCATATCCACACGAAGAAGAAGGAGCATTGTGACAATGACGGAGACACAGCTGCTATCAATAGACCTCAGTCTCATGTCCACAGAGATGTTCCCGTCTGTCGCCGAGAACGAGAAACATAGTCCAGGAACAACGATCACAGAAAAGGAGGCCGGTCCAAGCACGGAGAACGACCAAGAGAAGGGCAAAGGTCCGAACAATGATATACCAGTGACACCGATACCAAAGTACTTATCAGGTGCCAAGCTCTGGATTGTCATCACATGTGTAATTGTTGTTGCCTGGTTGATGTTCCTTGACAGTTCTATCATTGTTCCCGTTAGAGCACCCCGAAAATAAGTGAAGCATGTTATTTGCTAATAGCATTGTAGGCTATTCCAGCGATAACTGACGAGTTTCATTCTTTGCAAGATATCGGTTGGTATGGCAGTGCCTATCACGTTTCTAATGCCGCTTTCCAGCCGCTCACAGGTAAAATCTACCGCTACTTCAGCTCAAAGGTGCGGCTTTCCCGGCTCTTAGCGAATATGTTTCCAAATCCAATCTAATCCATGCAGTGGTCTTTTTTCGTCTTCCTAGTCTTGTTCGAGATTGGATCTCTTGTATGCGGGGCTACGCCTTCGTCCCTGATATTGATCATGGGCAGAGTCATCGCGGGGATAGGAAGTGCGGGCATGATGAGTGGTGGCCTGACGATCATCGCCGGATCAGTACCTCTAGAGAAAAGACCTGGTTAGATCAATCCTTGCGAGTTTTGTCTGACAAATGCTTGGCTAATTCAAGTTGTCTAATAGCTCTTATGGGACTGGTCATCGGACGTACGTATAGGCTATTGACCCTCAGAGCAGTAGCTAACGTCAAACTAAAGTTGCAAACTCTGGCAGCGTTTGCGGTCGTACGTGCAAAAAACCACCCTAGAAAGGAGAAAGTCTCGCCAAAAATACTAACGCAAAAATACTAACGTTAACACATAGCTGTTCTTGGTGGAGTACTGACCGACTATGCCAATTGGCGTTGGAGTAAGATATGGAGTTCATCCGAGTTGAGACGACTCTAAGTATTACGGAGTACCTGCTAAACTCAAATAGCATTCTACATCAACCTCCCGATTGGCGGCGTCGTCCTGCTGTTTCTGGCATGGTGCGAGATTCCCGATCAGGTGCCGAAACCGAGTCCTATGGCGGTCATTGCGAAATTGCACACGTATCTAGATTTTACCGGCTTTTCGTTATGCGCTGGTGCTGCGGTGTCATTTCTCACGGCCCTCGAGCTTGGTGGGAACGAATATGCTTTTAACAGCCCCACGATGATAGGATTGTTCTGCGGCTCTGCTGTGGCTCTCGTAACATTCTTGGCCTGGAACTATCGAAAAGGAGATGACGGGCTCATCCCATCATCAATGGCCGGTAAGAGGCCCGTCTGGTCCGCAGCCGCTACAAACTTCACCTTTGTTGGCTCGGCGATGATCCAGATCTACCTGCTCCCGCTCTACATACTTCCAGGCAGTACAAGGCGCCACGCCGGTCCAGAGCGGGATCAACGTTTTGCCAAGCATCTTGTCACAGCTAGCTTTCGCCTACGGCGGAGGCGTGCTAGGGACGGAAGCCTATGGAATTATTCCATATGTAATTTGAGTTTAGCTAACGTCCTTGTCACCCTTCAAGTCGGTAAGTTCGGGTATTATCTGCCGTGGGCTGTCGCAGGCACAGCGGCAACGATTATTGCTAGTGGCTTGTTCACGTCACTCACACCGACGACTTCGGTGGCCCAGTGGGTTGGTTATCAAATCATCACGGGTGGTGGACGAGGCATTGTTTTACAACTGGTGAGACCCGCTTGCCACATGCAGCGGTCACTGACCGCAAGCCCGACTAACAGAATGACTTTAAGCCAAGCATTGCTATTCGGGCGAACTTACCTCCGGAACAGATTTCAGTAGGAATATCATTTGTTACGTTTTCTCAGTTCATGGGTTCAGCTGTGGCCCTGGCAGTAAGTAACGCCATTTTTACAGGGGCACTGAAGCAAGACCTACCTAAATTCGCGCCGAATCTCGATACGTCGAAAATTCTTGAGGCCGGGGCAACCGGGTTCCGTAAAGTCGTGCCCGAGGAAAAACTGCCAGGAGTCTTTTTGGCATGTGTATCGAGTATCGACAAGGAGTTTATCCATCCCTCGGTCTGGCTATAGCATCATTCTGCTTCGCGTGGGGTATGGGGTGGAAAGACATTCGGCCAAAAAAGAAATAGGCAGTCAGCAGGTGAGGAAAAGAGAGAATGACTCGAGCCCGTGGATAACTGCCGAGAGCCCGAGGCTCAGGTTCATGGGCACTGACGTTTCTAAGATTGGACATTCTTATGGTGGTCCTTGCTAGTGTTGAGCGCCGTTACCAAGTTCTATCAAAAGTTCCTTGCTTAGAAATGAGTGCAGAGGTCTTGAAAGTTGACCATACACGTTAGTAGTATCGAGATAATGACTACGGACTACTTACCTATACGAAAATACGTCGCTTGATTAATCGTTCCGACGGGGTTGAAGTGGTTCGATAGCGGCCCGCTTGCTCATCAAGAATCCTTGGGTTTAGAGTTGAGCCTAATGGATCACTCGCACTCGAAGCCGACGGGATGTTGCTGGTCCTGAGGAGAGAAAATGAGGCTTCAGTCGTCCACCCCGTGGCGACTGAAAGAATCACAAGCTTCGCAATAGGGAACAATATTACGGCGTTCTCCGGTCCGATGTATCTGAGTTCACCTGAAGGAACCACCCGAATTATGACTGACGCGTCAATTAAAGACGAAAGGACGAAGCTTGCGAGACTAAAAGGGCTCGGGTTTCGCAGATGCTTCCGAATCATGCGACGAACAGCGATAGAGATTCAACATTTAGCGAGCGTGTGCCATGGCAGAAAAACAGGGCGTTTAATCAAGTGTCTGATTCCGTGTTGACTGGTCAAAGTGTCTAGGTAAAGCTAAGCTACGCCTAGCCCACATCTTGCGAGGGTATAACATGCTTGATTGCAGATCGCTCACGGTGCCGCCGTCTTGCGCTACCGGAGCTCTGAACCTCGGGTTGTCCGGAGACGTCGCGCATGTACTCAAAGTAACGTGGCTGTTGCGAGCCTAGTCCATCATTCTATCCTATCTTGAAAGCAATCAGGTGCGAATACAGTATCTCGATGATACGCATGGCTACGGCTACCCAATGAGCTCATCTGGTATACGGATACGCTGGCGCACAGCATTCTGCCATAGCACGCATATCCATCGGGGATAGGAGGAACTACGAAATTCAAGCATAGCATGGCTTGTACGATGCGGCCATATGTAACCCCGTTGAGAGGCCCCTTTAATAGTGGTTACCCTTGAAAAGGGACCCCTAACGACTCGTTCCTAGGCCTCATCGGTTGTACCCAAGTCCATACTTAGTTAGAAATGGTACCGCAAGGCAAGCTGAAACAAACCTGAGAGGTGTCCCGCGGGAGTAAAGGTAAAATTGGGCTGCCCAATGCGCTCGGGCCGTCTCGCTGGTCGACTTCAGTTAAGGACACAACATCGCTGGGCTTGACTCAAGGAGCAACGGCACGCCCGCAGCGTGAGATTGGAAGCACTGGACCGTGCTTCACAGGTTCACACTTCGCTGGCGAAAACGAGAGAGTCCAATGATAGAGTTCGCGCGATCTGCGAGTTCATCTTGTCGTCCCACAGCTTCTGATGCTGGCTTTTGCCGCTTTCGATATGCCCGAGACCGAATTCGCAATGAGCACTATTTCACAAGTCCGCAAGCGGAATCCACCATTGTCAGTGTGTATACGGATACACACTGAACGCAACGCAACGCAACATAATGGCTGTTTCCCGATGGGAGAGAGCTTGATCATGGATTCGTACTCCGTACAGATAGACGCGAACCCCTCAAGGTTACCTCAGGCGCGTTTCCCTTTCCTAATGCCAAGGGGGGAACACTTGGTTGTTTCTTGAGCAATCTATTTTACTCTCGCCGCCAAGAGCCCCAGCCATGCTTCAACGTCACTTATTCTAGCCACAGCCTACAGACAAAGATTCACGTGCTGCAAGCCCCGATCAAGCGGCAGGAGAAGCCCGCTGCCCGCGCCCGCGGACACTAGCAGCCGTCGAGCACGTTCGGCGGCTCGCCGGGCTCAAGGCTGGGCCCAGTCATGGGTAACCATCCCTGGAATTAATGGGAATATGACAGTCGGGTAAATAGAAACCCTATTTTACTTGCTCGCAACAGGACAGGGCCAACAACTTGGCGGGGCACACAGGCCAAAGGTGCCGACTCGAGCAGCTCAAACCCGCCAAGACTACCTACCGTACGAATAGTTGAGGCGTCCAAATAGGTCGGGCGTTTTGGACTCGCTGTCTTTTGTTGACTAAGTACGGAGTATGCTATGCACACACATGCAGTCTTCACCTCTTCCTATACCAAACCACTATCAATCTCTTGGCCAAGTCGATCCCCAAATAGGGACCCCACAGGAGGGGCTTTGGCCTTGGCGCTGGGTTGTTTTTAGAAGACGGGAAGCCATGAAGCTGTCACCAAACAACACCTGACTGATGATACACCGTGCCTTTGGCGAGATAGGTAACAAAACATGACATGATGGCGCGAGGAGCGTTGAAAGTTCGGTAATTACCAGGCAATCAAAGGAAGCTTTTTCTGATCTGATTAGAACGCCTCACCGGGCCACACCACCTTTGTTACACACCACTGCGAGGTGGTGGACCCCAATTCCAAAGAGAGTTTGCATAGCATTCGCCGAGGTTGCAGAGCCCTGGGAACTCGTCAGAACTTTGAAGTCGAGCTAAGGGGAACGCGATCCCACTCAGCAGGTTAACCTGCACACCACCCACTTATCGAATGATTGGCACCTTTTCCAGAGTTGCGGTAAAGCCAATGTCTCTGCCAAGTCGAATTCGCAGTCTTGACAGCCATACTGGTACCAAAGTACTGAATCGACAATGTCATACGTGGGAAGTTTCCCTGAAACCTTAAAATAAGAAATCGACAATGCGCATGATGGTTAGTCCCCAAAGAGGGAGGGTAGGTTCAACCGAGACATCTCATCTAGATCTGACGTGTCCCCCGCGCCCCGCGCAAGACGCCAGAACCCTGACATGAGTCGAACGGCGCAGGTAACTTGGCGCGGCTAAGAGAATGTCTTGGCAAAATTGACTTATTTTGAGTAGTACGCAAGTCGCGGGAACGAAGTCATATAAACTTCGGCCGTTGTCACCTGGCGCTTCTGAGTTGAACTCGTCCCTTCGACCTTGTCGTGCATCTACATGAACGCTTTGCCAACATGCTGTTCTCTCAAAGAAGTGCCTGCGATCGCTGCCGTGCTCTCAAGAGCCGTTGCTCCAGAGAAACTGGAGCGGCCAAGTGCGAAAGATGTCAACGACTCCAGATCGACTGTTTCTATAGCCCTCCGCGGCGCATGGGAAGACCGGCAAAGAAGCGCTTGAACCCGGAAGCTGCGCAGTCAACCCCTTCAACTACATTCCGACGATCCTCGACAATGTCGAGCAACACCACTGTTCAAACAATCACAAGCCCGCCCGAAGTGCTTCCATCCAACGTCCACGATGCGAGCGACTTCCAACAATATGGGATAGGAATTATACCGAGCCATCCGGAGGAAGATGGAACTTGGACCGGCAACTTCGAGGACCCTTTACTCGGACTCCTACAAAGCAATGACACGAAGCTGATGCCCACGGAGTGGATGGATACGGACACGCTGGGGTTCTTGGCTCATCAAGATGAAAGTCTTGTAGCACAACCTCACGACCTGCCACTTACACCCCCAACAACGATTGGCTCTTTACCCACCAACACAGAAGATAGCTGGATTCCAGGATGTGATCACCCATCCGAGTTCAGTCACGCCGAATCCTTTGCCGGCGATACTATGCCTTCATCACCAGAAGCAACTTCACGATCATCAGAGTCGGCAGCACAGCGGCTCATGGATCTTCAGTCTCTGCTATTCTCACGGCACATCACCAGAGCACAGGACGCAGACGGGCTTACGACACTGATCAACACGACCGTGCACTCGACAGAAACTCTCATTGATGTCGTGGAAAGCTTGCCACTAGTGAGGCCGAGCGTGGAAGGACGACGATCTACTTCACCGCCATCCTGCTGGACCGGAGCACCCGACACTTCCGGCTTCGCCACACAAGTAGTACCACAGCTTCCGAAAGAGCCAGTACAACATCTACACCAACCACCAAACCTGACTCTCGTTATCTCTCTTTTTATGACAAATTATCTTCTTCTCCTGGATTCTTACGAAGAACTCCTCGGCGCTCTGAGGGGCCGTCTTCAATGTTCACGGCAGAGCCAGGGCCCGAGTCCCGGCAGTGACTTCAGCCTGGCACAACCATTTTTGGGCAACAACACACCCAACGGAAACCTCAACAAATTTAACGTTGTGAGCTCTTTTGACTTGGACGTCAACTCGGTCGTATTCTTGTTGTCTCGAATGATGAAGAGACTACACAAATCTACGGAATGCCGCTTCAACTCCGTTTCCATGACACCACCTGCCGTTAGCCAGTCTCGAGGTCAAGGATTCTCGGCTTCAGCTACATCATACAACTTTGACTTCCAAGATGGGATAAGCCAGGATATAGACGGGTGCTCGGAAGCGTCAGGGGCCTTTTCTCCGATGGCTCTGATGGGGGACTATGCACTGCGGGAAGTAAGCCAGAGGCACCAGGGCGTAATGGAGTCGCTCCGTGTGATTAGGTGGCTTGCGGACGAATTATGACAGAGCCTGCACGACAGATGTACACACTTTTGTGAAACTAAAGTTAAAGATACATCAATCAAATAAGCGAACAGCCACATGAGTCGTTCACGACCGCAAAGTTAGCTTCGTTGACTAACGAATTTCGATTCAAATCCACATTTGCTGAGCTCGGTCTCGGACTTCGTCTCCCCAGTGCCGCTCTCCCAGGGCTGATGATCATCCCATCATGTGTGATATTCTCGGGGAAAGCCGTTGTAGTATTGGTCCGAGGCTGCTTGACCATTGGATATCAGATTTAGAAATTTCCCAAACATTTGGGATTTCATCCCATCATAGTCAAACTTCCACATTCGACTTCGGGCGACATCTCAAAATCAGCTCTGAAACGCTGTGGTAGGTATGGAATGTGGCCAGTGCTTCTAGAAAAGAAGCAGCATCTAAAGTGCTGGTTTTCAGGGTCCAGAAAGACTGGAATGCCCCATCTGCAACAGCGTTTGCGACGCGGACGCCCGCTCGACATTTGGTGGCGACCTGACGAGGTCGCCATAGAACTTACTTAAGTCAAAGAGGATATCTGTTAAGAAAATGAGGATGTGAAACTATTTGTGGAATGAAGACTAGGCTTGGCATTTCAAGGCCAGCTTTCCAGAACCGGGCCTAGGCTAGATTTGTTCTGCTTTCTAGCACTGTTTCATTAAACCTACATAGGCTGTGAGCTGAACTTTGACCCATCTCATTAAACTATTTGTAAGAAGGTTTGGAACGTCGGGCGCGCTAGAGACATGATCTCTAAGCGTGGTTTGTGTATAATACGTACATTCTTCTCAATTGTATTCCATGTGATCACTGGTACTCTAGGAATACTATCGTCTCACTATTCCATTCAGCGAGGTTACTCTATGAGGTCATCAGAAAATGATTAGCAGCATAGTGTTGTTTTGTTTTTTATCTCTTCCTAAGTTTCGAGCCATAAGCTGCACTCGGACGTTACATATCAATTAAGAGTCACCCTAGATCTGAGGAGATGATGACCTTTGATGTTTTTTGAAAAGAGCTGACTCAACTTGTAGCCCGATCATCTGTAGCTTGCTGCCCGGTGCTAAATTATGGCCTTTTATTAATGACCGCCAGGTAAATTGCACTGCTTGCTAAGTACTGCGAGCTCCGAATTCAGTGTGTGAGTCGGGAGAAACTTGTGTCCTCTACTGGGTCTGTCCAATCGGTCCACGACACTTGCGCAGTTCTAGACCAGAAACTCATCACTTTGTGTCGTAGAATACACATTCATTATCAATCATTGATTTATAATTGATATAATAAGCACAAGAATACTAGATTTCTAGTATCGAAGTAGAAAAGTCGTCGCTGTAATGAAGGTCTGAGGTCTCCAAGTCCGAACCCCTACCAGCGATATGAAGATTTAGATCCAACGGCTTTGTGGAAGCTATCAACATTTCCTGGCGCATTGCTGAGCCTCAAAAAGATCTTTGCCTGCACGCTGTCTTGGTATTTGATTTTGATGTTAACGATTGGGGTTTCCATTTCCATGAACATGTTCCGCAGCGTTACATTCGGTTTCCGGCGGGGAAGACTTGTGCTTATCTAGAAAGCTTGGCCGTCTTGGCTTGACCACCTAAATGTCTTGTCTCCTTCCAGATCCATACTGGATCGTTACTTCTAGACCGATGGAGGGCGGGGTATCAACCCTGACAAAAACGAGGTTTTTTCCATGTCAAGAGTTGC